ATACCATCTGGGAGAATTATTCTCTCTGGCAAATCGATCGCCTAATCGTCTCTCTCTTTCAAATGACGTGAGTGAAATGCGACTGTCGAGCCCACACGGTAGTGTTTCGCGCGATATATTTACATTAATTTAGGCAATATCAGATCAATTTCGCGCTATAAGTGAGACACAATGAGTAATGAAAGAAAATGAGACAAAATGAGGGAAAAGTAAGAAGGGAGGCATACACCGTCGTCGACTTCTTCGAGCGGCTTAAACGTTCGTCGAAAGTAGCGGAGAAATGATCAACGTAGAAGCTATATACTTTAGATTCAGCAAAGATCTTCTGGAAGCTATCGGTTTGTGGCCAAGCCGGCAAACAAGACTCGATCAACTTCGATATGCTCTCTTATTCGGTATTCTATCAACCGTCATCGTGTTTCACGTACGGCGCACTGCTGAAGCAATATTATTATGTGACAAATTACCGCATTACGATTAAGAGCCAACGATTAAGAGTTTACTTTGCTAAATTTACAAAATATAAGTATTCGCATTTATTAATGTTACGTTACGATTTTCACACCGCGACTATAGGAAGACTATTAATAGACAATAAGTATTGATATGCGATCTATTAAACAATTATTGAATAATGTTTCACGATTTCTAATTTATCAATGGAGAATAGGGATCTTTTAGCGCGATTTTCTCGACAAAATTGTTATTTGCAGTTTACAACATTTATGACCGCGGAATGCACTTTGGAGTTAATCGTCAAAGTTCTCGCTTCCGTGTTCATATTTATAAATATCATGATCAAATACAGCGCGTTCTGGATGAATACCGTATCTGTAAGTTAATTTTTTTTATCCTGTTTGTCTATATAAGTAGTTTTGATGAATTTGTTTTCAGAAATAAAATTTTTTAATAAAAGAAATTATTGAAACTGTAGATCAAGAAGTTAATGGAGCAACTTCAACGCACATGTGGCGAGCTGAAAGACAAGAATGAGATTGCCATCATGCAAAAATACGGGCTTATCTCGAGACGTTACACTATTTCGCTTACAGGTCAGAGTTTAAGAAATGTCGAGGCCTTCGTCACAACGTGAATCATACTTTCCGCTCGTGGAAACCTTCACGGAACTTGTAAAGTTCACACATAAACTACATGGAGAAAAAATTATAATTTTTTTTTATATAAATTCCTTACTATTTTATTATAAAATTCTTTTCGTGTATCTCAAATTTGAGTCAATGTATATTGTAATATAAAAATAATCGTCTAGAGTTTGTATATTTTTCTTTTTCAGCATCCTTCGTTTGTGGTGAATTTAGTTTTATTTCGATCCAGTGTTGGTCGAGCATTCTTGATATTGTTCAACCGCGAAACGAGTCCAGACCTCATGTCATAGTTTTTCCAATGGAGTATTTCGTGGATCAGCAAAAATATTTCTATTTAATCCTCTTGCACATAAACACAGCCATTTTCATAGGCGGTATCACAGTACCGGCGACGCTATCGGTGCTCGTCTCGTGTCAGGAATGCGTTTGCGGAATGTTCACAGTTGCCTGGTAAGAAAATGGGAATGACAGAATAACTATTGATAATTAGTTTTTTACTGATAACTGAGAACACGTTTTTTTTTT